ATACAGTAGGGCCATATGTATACCTGTACGCGTGTAATCCTGCATGTGCATACGTACACGCATAGTTCTGTATGGATGTCCATATAGGCACAGCCCCCCCAGCACCCATTCTACGCCTTCTTCCTTTCCACGAGGCTGGAGTCGTGCCGCTCCCCTCCTGTATCCTTTCCCTCTCCGCGCGTCTTTTTCTTCTTCGCTGAAGCCTCCCCGCGCCCGCTAGCGGCACATTTTCCACAAGCGCCAACGTGACAGATGCAAGCGTCTGTTTCCTCTACATAGAGGGGGAACAAGCGTGTGAGCCATCCTGTAGACGAGAAATCAGCAAACCCTGCGTTTTCATTGGGGTTCCTGGAGTTTCTGTGATGCTAATCAACAAAGACCTGCGATGTCACGGGGGCTCCTGGGATTTCTGAAATGTCATACCCTGGAGCAAAGCCAGCCTTGGGATCCCCAGGAGGCTTAAGGCTCAGAATCCCGGGAATCCCAGTGAAATCCCAGGTTTCGCGACGTCGGTGATGCGAGAACCTTATGATTTTAATTTGAATGCTGGGATGCAAATCGATGAAACCTTGTGATGTCAGTGAGATTCCTAGGATTTCATCCCCTGGAGCCAAATCAACCTTGGGATCCCCAGGAAGTCCAGGGCTCAGAATCCCAAGTCCCATTGCAGGTCCGAGACATCGGTGACGCGCAAATCTTATGATTGCATTTAAGTGTCCAGTATTTCTGTGACGCAGATCAACGAAACCTTGCGATTTCATTGGGATTCGTGGGATTTCTGGGATTTCATACCCTGGAGCAAGACCAACCTTAGGATCCCCAGGAGGTCAAGGGCCCAGAATCCCAGGAATCCCAATGCAATCACAGTTTTTCGCGACGTCGGTGATGCGCAAACCTTGTGATTGCTGCGGGATTCCTGGGATTTGTGGGATGTAAAGCAATAAAACCATGCGATCTCATTGGGATTATTGGGATTCCTGGGATCTCATACCCTGGAGCGAAAGCAAAGAACGAGCCCTGGGGTCCCAGAAGGTCAGGGTTGAAAATCCCAGGAATCCAATTGAAATCGTAAGGTTTCGTTGATTTGCATCCCAGAGATCCAAGGAATCCCAATAAAATCATAGGGCTTGCGCATCCCCGACGTCGCGATACCTGCGATTTCATTTGGATTCCTCTGATTCTGAACCCTGGACCTCCTGGGGATCCCAAGGTTGGTTTTGCTTTAGGTTCATGAAATCCCAGGATCCCCAGTGAAATCACAAGGTTCCATTGATTTGCATTCCAGGAATCCCAGTCAAATCATAGTGTTTGCCCACCACCGGCGCCACAAACCTTTTGGTTTCATTGGGACTCCTGGGATTCTGAACCCTGGACTTCCTGGGGATTCCAGGGTTGGTTTTGCTCCAGGGTATGAAATCCCAGGAACCCCAGGAATCCAATTGAAATCACATGGTTTCGTCAATCTGCATCCCAGGAGTCCTAGTGAAATCATAAAGTTTGCACACCTCCTGCGTATCGAACCTTGCGATTTCATTTGGAGTCCCAGACATCCCACGAATCCAAGTGAAATCAAAGGGTTTGCTGATTTCTCGTCTGCAGGATGGCCCACACGCTTGTCCCCCCTCTATGTACAGGAAGCAAACGCTTGAATTTGCCACGTTGGCGCTTGCGGAAAGTGTGCCGTTAGCGGATGCGGGGGGAGGCTTCAGCGAAGAAGAAGAAGAAGAGGCGCGGAGAGCGAAGGAATACAGGAGGGGAGCAGCACGATTCCAGCTTCGTGGAAAGGAAGAAGCCGTAGAATGGGTGTTGGTGGGGGCTGTCCATTTTTACTATATACATATATATACATATACCCACAGATCTGAATGTTTGCACTGATTTTGATGCAGACCGTTCAAATCAATACATGTATGTGTCGTTATCATTCGATACCCCTCGATGTGTAAAGATTTATGTGTACACATGCTATACCAGGGGGAAGAATTGTATTAATGTTGCTTTAAAAAGGAAAAAGGTAAGAATAATACAAAACAACAACAACAACAACAAAAAAAAAAAAAAAAAAAAAAAAAAAAAAAAAAACGGCGATGGGGCTATAGGGTTATGGAACTACAGGGTGATAGGGCCATCGGGCTATAGGTACATAGGGCTATAGGGCCATAGGGCTGTAGGCCTATAGGATTATGGGGCTATGGGGCTCTGGCACGATGGGGCTATAGGGCCATAGGGCTATGAGTATACAGGGCTATGGGGCCACAGGGCTATAAGGATATAGGGCTATGGGGCTACAGGGCTAAAGGCATATAGAGCTATGGGGCTGTAGGGCTATAGGGCTGTAGGGCTATAAGATTATTGGGCTATAAGGCGATTGGGCTATGGGGCTATAGGGCCATTGGGCTATAGGGCTGTCTGCTTATAGGGCTATAAGGCTATAGGGCTATAGGCCCATAGGGGTCTAGGGCTGTAGGGCTATAAGACTATAAAGCTAGGGGGCTATTTGGCTATAGGGGTATGGGGCTATAGGGTTATCGGGCTATAAGGCTATAGGGCTATAGGTTTATAGGGCTATAAAGCACCCGTGCACCCGGGCACCTGGGCACCTGGGCTCCCGGGCACCCGGGCGGGCCGCGGAAATCGGCGGCAAAGTTCACCTAACCATACGAATCCGCTAGGACCCCTGCAGAGGCAAGCTCTGATTGGGGAACAGATATGCATGCACACCTATATGTGGACAGCCCCCACCCCCCACCGGGCCAGCACCCATGAATCGTTTCGTTTCTTTCGAGCACGTTGTAGTTTCCTTGTCATGTCCTTCTCCCTCTCTTCATTTTCTGGGTGTCGTTTTTGTTATCCTTCTCCTTCCTTTTCGTCCCTTTCTTCGCCTACAGATCCCCCTGGCGTCTGCTGGCGCATTTGTTTCGGCTCCATGGGGGGCGCGCTCTGGCTGCTAGGCTGGCCAACGGCCAACGGCACAGCACTGCAGAAGATGCAAACGGCGCGTTCCATTGCAGAGGAAGCCCAAAGTTTGTGAGCCATCCCGCAGACACGAGGAGCCACCGAACCCTGACACAAACCGTCCGATTTCGTTGCGATGCTTGGGAATCATGGGACGTTCCCCCTTACGACAAAAATATACCCTGGAGCACCCCCAGGGCCCCGAAGGCGAAGCATCCCAGTGAATCCACAGGGTTCGCGACGGAGAGGAAGCCGAAGCTATGTGATGTCATTGGGATGCTTGGGATGCCTTGAGTACTGTCATCAGAAGCCGTATGATTTCATTGGGATGCTTGGGTTTCCCCCCTCCTACAAAAATTTAGCCTGGAGCCCCCCAGGACTCCGAATGCCAAGCACCCCAGTGACTTCGCAAGGTTCGCGACGTCAGGGAAGTCGAAACCTGGTGATGCCACTGAGATGTTTAGGGCTTCTATGGTGTTAGTCCCAGAACACATTGATTTCATCGGAATGCTTGGGATTCCTGAGTTTTTCCCCTTCCAGCAAAAAATACCCTGGAGCTCCCCAGAATTCCAGATGCTAAGCATCCCAATGAATTCACAAGGTTCGCTGCGTCATGGCAGCTCAAATTTTATGATTGCATTAGCATGCTTGTGATTCTTGGGGGGGGGGCTTACAACAAAAGAACTGGAGACCCCCAGGGCTCCGAATACCAAACATCCGAGTGAATTCTAGACGCTACGCGTATCCCCACCAGCGGGATCTGTCGCCTGTAATAGTCACCTCCCTGCTCGCCGCTCAGCTGGTGCTTTAACAGGTGCCCTTCAGCTATGTTGCGTAGCGCTGCGCAACATGGCCGTTTATTGTGGCGCTTCCGGCGCTGGCACACTCCAGCCCGGACAGCTCCTGCACCGTTCAGCCACCCCCCCTCTTCTACGTGACACATGCGGCGGTTAGCTGCACCCCCCTGACGTGTATACGCTCTCGGCGTGCAGCTGCCATCCAGTTACGTACCTTTTGCGGCGGTTAGCTGCACACCCCATCTCCACGCCAGTCGCATACTGCGGGCCGCAGTGGCCCTCCCGCAGCCGGTCGGCACCATGGCATCGGAAGGTCGGCGGTGTCCACCGAGGTGAGGTTATCTGTGGCGGGTTGCGCCAGTGTGGCGCCTCGCCCGCGTTTCTCGGCGCACCTCTGCCTCACCCGTTCCGACCCGTCCGTTGGCCGACGCTTGCCTCAACAGCTCTGTAGTGGTGTTCGCTCGCTGCGAGCTGAGTGGATCAGCCTTCAGCGCCGTCAGCCTGTTTTCCACTTCCAGCCGCTGGTACTCCGAGCTGGTGACAGTTGTCTGTTTGAGGTGTTGCTCGGAGCTTGGCGCCGCAAGGGCGACGTTCCGTTGCACCCGCACCTCTGTGCGCTCGTTCTTTTGGATTGGGCAACGCCTAGGTGCGTCTCGGCTCGAATGTGGAGCATTTTGCTCAGTGCACGTGCACCGCACGCCTTGCGTGGAATTTGCCTGTTCCGTCGTCCCGGACACGCCTGTTGCCGCCAGACCGTCGTCGCGCGGCTGCCGACCAAAAAGTATCCCCACCAGCCAATCCACAATCGATGCGTAGGGGAGCTGACGGAAGAAG